TTCTTACCCCTAAAGGAGATTATACCGTTGTAAAGTGCTATTCAAATTCCGTGAATATCAGTTTTATTATCAGGTTCGATGTAGCGAAATTCCGAATTGGAAAGAGTCACTAACTGCATGCACACAAACATGATTCAGTTGCCATTTTTGGCCGATTATTCACAAACAGTGGGGCTATCTGAATATGCTCTGTGTGTTAATTTAAAAACGAAATTAAAGTCCTTAGGAGAAAGGGTTAATCGTTTCAAGTTTCGGGCAGTCGGAATAAGAAATATGTTTTTTTATTCAAATGGCAGGCGTTTTGATAGCTATTTTTAGTCATTAAGCAGACTTCGGGCTTCACAGAGGAGTGGGGAACAGAAAATCGATTCACAGGTGTAAAAGAGACAGAAAGACACAAAGGTAGAAAAAGGTAAGTTGGGGGTGAGAACTGTGGAAGTGATTAATTATGACATACAATCGGGTCAAGTTGGTTTAAAGCCAGAAGTCAACAGCCGGTTGATAGACTTTTTTGATGTATGAGTGGAGTACGTGGAGGTAAGTCTATCGCACACCCCGGTATAAGAAATATGATTTTGCTTATCTGAACTGAAGTATTTCATCGTATTATATATTACAAATAGCTTCCAATGCACATTGCAAAAGATTTTAATTATCATTATTTGAGCAAATCTAGGAGTATTCTATGAGTATACAATAAGTGCTAATAGATATCTACTATTCAGTATGTTTGTTGGGATGCTTATATTCTAGAAATAGTTTTAAATCCTATTCTCTATATCACCTTGACATCTATCAAATCTCCGAAATTAATTAACAATAATTATCGCATATAGATTGTTTTTTATGTATTAAGTTGAAATTAGAAGTTTGCGCAGTTATTAATAATTGAGTGTATTGATTCTGTAAGTCATTACAGGTTATAAATTAGTAATCAATTTTTACAGCCTATATGAGTAAGTCGTAATTTATTTTTAGAAATATTAATTATTTACTTTGGCCCTAAGTTTTGAAGCAGTTTGCAGTGAGCAGTGTTATTACTAATCTTTAACATAATAGCCGTATCAGTCACAATGATGATTTATGATCCAAACAACGAATTTGCTGGCTTTACAAAGTTATATAACAACAATTATCGTCTGATTGACTTACAACTAAAATATCACCATCTCGATATGGCGTGCTCTTTATGAACACACAAGGTACAAAAAAGTGGGAAAATAGCCTCTTGAATCTTATTTCATGCTCTTCTATCTCCTCCTTGTCACTCTTAGCAACTATGTACCTATTTGGTTTAGTATTTTTAATTTGTAATTAAAAATGAAATAGACCCGTTGAAGAAGCTGACTTCTCCACTCTTATAGGCCTTTATGGATCGGAATAACTACTCCCCCCACTCTTTAGTAGGCGAAAGACTTTGTTTGTGTGCATTTTCAAAATCATAATTTAACCCCTATTTTGCGTACTTGTTTAATATACTTAAAATTTGGGAAGGCAAGCACTTAACATAAGAAAGTACTTTAATACTCTTTTACCTTTCAATAGTGGGGAGTGCGATAGACTTACCTCCACGTGGTGCACCCTGGGCAACGTATATTCATACGGCAAAAAAAGTCTATTAACTATCAGTTGACTTCTCACTTCAAACTACCATCACCTCACTCTATGCAATATTCGACCATTTCACAGTACTCACCTCACCTTTTTTCTACCTTTGTGTTTGTCTCTTACATCCTTGAAACACTCTTCTGTCCCCCCCCCCTTCTCGACTTTTTTCAATTTGATGTTCCTTCCCCTCTGTGAAGCCTGAAGTCGACTAAAGGGCCAATGATAACTATCAAGTCGCCTGCCATTTGTTATAAACCTTTCAATAGTATACAAATTAATGATAGGAAATTTTTGTCTTATATCCATAATTTTGAAATTTCCCCCTAATGTGAATGTAAGCAGGCTAGTATTAAAATTATGAAGCGGCTGGGGGCTAGAATAGTCTCGAACGCCGCACTTCCAGTGAACAGTATGGCTAACTGTGCTCGTCAAATCTGGCTAATACATAGAGTGTCAGAATTCGAGTCACTTACCAGTGAGACTCAAAGATCCCAAATGAGCTTGGCCTATTAGCACAAGATTTATATCTCTTATCGATTAATCAATATACTTTGAAAATTGTGGAAATAGACCATTTCTAAGGGGACATAGGGATTAACTCCCTTTAATTAGCATATCATGAAAGGATGTGGTGAAATCTCGAAATTCGAATGAGGCAAAATTCGTATTACCCCCGGTTAATACTTGCAAAGCCTACTCACTAAACACCCCCACGTTAATTGCAATGTTTTAACGACGTCTAAAGTGGTTTTTATTTTTTCGCCTTACAATGAAAAATGTTGATTACGAAGCTTCTTAAGGAGAGATTTGGTAATAAACAAATAAGCAGCATATAAATGAAAAAAATAAGTATAACCATTAAAAAATATGACCTTCATGACGCTTCATATTTGTAAATTAAAATGCAGCATTAATTCCACTTTGTATAATGTGTTAACTGGCACTAAGTTCGTGCTCCCCTTAGGTACAAGCCCATGGGAAACCCAAATGACGATATTTTCGAAATTCATGCATTAAAACACCAGTTCAGACACTATAACTGCATTTGAGTACATTTGTATAAATGTAAATTAAAGAAGGGATTCGCGATAGACTTAAATCTATGTGATGCACCCTGGGCAACTTATACTCATACAGAAAAATGAGTCTATAAACAGGCAGTTGACTTCTCACTTCAAACTACCATGGCCCTACTGTCTGCCATATTTCACCACTTCCACAGTACTCACCTTACCTTTTTCTCTACCTTCGTGAATGTCTATTTTACATCTGTGAAACACTCTTCTGTCCCCTTCCTCTCGAATTTGTTCTTATTGTGATGTTCTTACCCTCTTTGAAGCCCGAAGTTAGCTAAAGGGATAATGATAACTCTATCATAAAGCCTGGCATTTGATATAAATAAATAAGTATTTTAAAGAATTCAGCTGAAATTCTGGGGCTTTCAATCAAGTTGAAATTACTTTGGGTAAAAGATAAATTCTACTTGATGTTGATTTAGAGAATGTTCTTTAAGATATGCAACATTTAACAAGCAATTGCAAAGCTACTATGTCTTAATAGCTCATTCAAACAAAATCTGTCTTATTAAGGCTAAACTAAAAAATTTCTTTTCAAACAGTTTCCCTCCTAGTGTCCACAATGACACAAAATGTAATTGACTGATAATATAAAAATCGTTTTAATGATTGACACTCTAAAATTCATATATATTACAGAATAAATCAAATGGATGTCTGTTTGTTTAAATGAATGCTATGTCCTTGATAGGAGGCGAGGAGAGGGAGCATTCAAACAACTGCACTTGTTCAACTCTGATCGAATTCGATAACACAGTTCTTGATTTTTTCTATCCATCTGAAATAGTTTTAAATACGAATAATCTACGTGCACTAATAACACAAATTAACTTTATACGTTTAAGCCCTCACATATTTCGAATTTCTTCACTTGGAGCTTCAAAATAGTGTGCCACTTTGTCGGTATTGTTTGGTAGAATGAGGAATCCATTCATGTTGGAGAGAATAGAGAGAGTATCCACTGAAATGGACGACAACGCTTTTCCCATTTTAACTGGAAGTGCATTTGCATGAGTCTCGAGGTTTCCATTCGGTGTTAAGGGAGCAGTTGACGAAGAATTAGAGGAATCTTCGAATTTTTTTAAGGAATCACGATTGGAATCAACATCCGATTTGTTCAAATCATTTTCCCTTTCTTCCGCTCTTCTTAAAGCCACGGTAGGTGAAATCATGGCTAATGAAGTCTTTATAGCACTTGCACGCTTGTGGAATTCTATTGGACTATTTTCAATTGACGTTTTATGATCCGGAACTGATCTCCGTGGTGAATTCTCATTTGAAGTGCCTGAAACAAAATGCTGGTTGGTCTATATCTGAGTAAATGATTTCTTTGGCATATAATATCACAACACTAGACCTGATGTAGGTAAAAAGTTCGGTAAATTGAGAAACTGCTTTTTTCAAAGAACGGCTAAGTTGATGGATGGGAGGGATTTACCAGAGGAATGCATTTTATCAGTGGGATATCAAAATCTTATTTTGGGTTCAAGAATTTCATACTCTTATTAAACCCTTTTGGTAACCAGCTTTTCAGTGCTAAAGTCAAAAATATGCTCAACTCTGACTGACTCTTCTTCCGGATAAATATGCTCAATTTATCCATCGAATTAGTTATAACTGGAAGTATAGAGTATAAGACTATCCAGTAAGTACGTTCCCTCTGTGAGTTCCACTTGGATTTTGCTTCTAGAACTACGTATTTCTGCGACGTCTGTCATGTTAGAAGCCATGATCCTAAACAGAATGTGCCCAGCAAGTGGAATATCCAACAGCATTGGTCAATTTGGATTATACAGGGGATGGGAGGTGAAATTCCAGTCTCCCATCATGAGTGATTCCACGATGTCGCTCTCTACACCGAATGAGTGCTGGAAAGCATTACTAACCTGGACTTTGGAAACTCTATTCGGTATTTTTATACATTATCCATTAACGGTTTCACAATCAATCAACATGAATATCTGAAAGTAAGTTAACTACGGGGCATTCCAATCAATAATTCAAGATCTTACCAATCATTTCTGACAATTCCTAACGTATTGCCAGGTATTGCGGTTGGTTTATTTAAGTGGAATGTAGCGTTAATTCTAGTGAAAGTGTGCCGGTTTCAGTGAATTTATTCCAACGATGACGATTTGTTAGTACTAACTATCTATTTGCAAGAAGCCATTCAGGTGACACTTTAACAAGTTAAGAGAAAAAGTGTCACATAAACAGGTTTGAAGATCACATATGATGCTAAATTTTGTGCTGTCAGTGCATTCTACCAAAATTGTGGTGATAATGTGTGTGTGCGCATTGCGTTGTCATAAGTCAGGCTTGAAATATTTCTCTGTGTGTGTGTGTGTATGAAATTTGATGTTGAGAAAGCACAACAGAGCAAAAAATGATTTTTAGCTATTCACATATCTTATTTTTCAATGTATTGTTCTATCTTATCTAGTCCTTTACAAATCGTGGTGATCTATGCAATCCTAGCCATTGCCGCTCATTTGCAGCCAATAAATCAATAATCAAACTTTGCTCCGCATTTTGCATGTAGAGCACACTGGAATAGCAATGTAAGAGACAGTTAGCACTGTGACACTTACATTGAAGGAGAAGAATGTATCAACTTACTTGGAAGAGAATTCGTATCAAGATTACTGGAACTGTAAGTTCTCAAACTCGATACTGAGCGCCTCTTCGACGACATGAAGTCGTTATCTCGTCTACTTAATCGAACTAGATACAAAAGTCTAGTTCCAAGGAGGATTACACTATCACAGCTCTTAGCATCGTCCTTGGCCGCATACATTGCAAGAAGGGTATCAGGTTGAAGAACACAGAATACTCTCGATGTATGCGGTCGTATAATTAGTCTGGCAGCAGGAAGTGGCATAACTGTAGTAGAGCAGGCAGGCCCACTACTATTGTCAGTGACCATACTGAGGGAAGATTGGAGGAGATTGGCAAATTCCAGGCTCATTTTCCGACTAGGACGCGAGAGGAAAGGCGAGGTTAGGTTTTGAGCAATCAAAGAATCTGAATTGCTAGAAGTGCTGGTAGCTGAAGATGAGTTGAGGAGTGAGGGCTGAGAAGGACAGCGTTCTCGGGCAACCACTCCCGCGGTGTACTCAACTCGTGTGTGAGTTTTCTTATGAGGCCATTGGTTTCGAATCTTCGAGGTAGACATTAAGTAGCTGCAGTGGTAGGGTGCGTACTTTTGACCCTATTGAATGCGAGAATAGAAATGAGAGTAAAATGTACTCACAGGGTCACCAAGCCCCTTGAGATGGCGAAAAAACATTTCGCGTGTCATATAATAACAGTAATCATGTGACAAACTTTGAAATAAAACTTTTACTGAACTCTAAGAAAGAGGTTTCTCTCTTGCGCTAATTAACGCAAATCCAGAGGTTGTGCAGATCTCTTGCAGTTACTTGTCATCAAACCTATTATGTCGTCTTTTAATAGGTGTAAAACAAATTTAAATCAGCTCATCCGCCTACTCTCAAACGTACCGTTGTGATATATATATATATATATATATATATATATATATATATAGCGGAATAAAGAGTTTACTAAGAAATATAGATTCAGGTAGTCGGAGAGGTTAACATGAAATTATTCTTAATGAGTTTTGGTGTGCAATAGACGTACCTCCACGTGGTGCTTCCTTAGCAATGTGTACCCACATGACAAAAGAGTCTATAAACTGGCAGTTGACTTCTGACTTCAAACTACCGTCTATAAACTGGCAGTTGACTTCTGACTTCAAACTACCATGACCTCACTGTATGTCATATTCGACCCCTTCACAGTACTCACCACACCTTTTTTCAACCTTTGTGTCTGTCGGCCTCTTTTATATCTGTGAATCACTCTTCTGTTCCCCATCCCTCGACTTTCTATTACTTTGACTCTTTTATATCTGTGAATCACTCTTCTGTTCCCCATCCCTCGACTTTCTATTACTTTGATGTTCCTTCCCTCTGTGAAGCTTGAAGTCAACTAAATGGCTAATGATAATTGCTTAAACGCCTACCATTTGATATAAATAAATTCCTAATGAGTTAAATCACTTTTTATTGCACTTTTTATTGTTCACTTTGAGCATATTCCAGTACGTTAAAGTACCATCCTTTTTTACTGCCCATTAAACACAGAAAAACTTGTCAGCTCATATGTTTTTTAAATTTGAGCCTAAAACTTTTCATCGTTTTCTGAGGAGCTTGGAGGTCGGTGGAGGGAGAGGGGTGCAAGTAGGGAAATTGAAATGAAAGCAGGCTCGTACTCTTGAAAACCAACACCTATCTACTGCACTCTACAGACACTCGTATTTACCCTCTAACGCCCGAATAATTTTTTTGTTTGAAAATGCACCCAACCACACTCTCGTGTGTCTCACAGCGGCAGAATGATGCCGCTGACGTGATGAATTTGGGTGGTGTATCAGGGGAAGGCTATCGATACTTATTGAACATACTTCTGACAGCTCTAGCGTCACTTCTGTTATGAGTCTCTTATTTTGAAAGAGAACTCTACGGCCCTAAGAGTGGTAAAGGGTTAAAGCTTAATGCCAATTGAATGCTTCCAAAAATCCCAAGGCATGAAAGTTTTAATGGCAAAGATGCATAACCATGACTGGGTGTAGATGAAAATCTAGTCCTCAGGACTGAGATTCTCAAATTTATCCAACTCATGACGCTTTCATGAAATCTATGTCCACTCGTGTGTCTTTGGCACTAATTTTGTACAAATGCACTAAATAAGGAAAAGCAAATCGCCTTCCTTGAACCAAAGGGGTGAGTAATTCCACGAAGAGCCAATAGAAGAAATTGAGTGCTAGGGAGTACTCACTTTCAATACTCAAATGGAGCGCAGCTTCAGTGATTAAATTTTGTCACCTTGCTGAAAGATAAAGAACATGGAGTTGTATAGTCATACCTATCTAACTATACTGTATGTATTATTAAATTAATATTTTTGAGTGTAAACTGAATGTTATTATTGGTATTATTATTGTTGTTGTTCGCAAGCGGTATCATCTCAAATGGTTACCCTTAAGAAAAGAACCGTATCACGCATGTAATTGGCAGCAACAAATGTGGATAGGATACTCTGCAGTACTTTAACTTATTGGCAGAAATATGAATGAATAAGTGCGCGAATTTTGCAAGCAATGAAACATTAAATCTGTGCAAAGATTGCCAGAAGTAGCGTTAATGGTTATAACTATAAACAAAATCAATAAGTACGTCTCCACAGTAAATTATTATTAAACGTTATCAGAGAAACCTTTAATTTTTAAAAATAACAAAAATAAAAAGGACATTCGAAAGGGTGTGATTAGTGATCTACTAATATTCATTACATTATCGATCAAATTTTAACTAACCCTAACCCATGGTTTATTATTAGGTTGGCAACTAAGTCATTGCTGATTTCAAATAAGAAGGCAAATTCGGAATTTTTGTTTAAAAATATAACTTTATTCAACTAGATATTGGCCGTTCTTGTCGATGACCTTTATCCATTGTTCTGGCAGAGTAAAAATTCCCCGTTCGTAAAATGTCTAGTCTTTGCTATTAAAAAACTGAATTAGGTGTGATCCGACATCATCCGCGATGTTAAAAATTTTACCATTTAAAGAGTTTTGCATGGAACGAAACAAATGGTAATCCGAAGGCGCAAGGTCAGGGCTATATGGTGGGTGTGGCAAAACATCCCAACCCAGTTCCAATAATTTTTGCCGAGTAACCAAAGATGTGTGGGGCCTTGCGTTATCATGATGGAAAACAACACCCTTCCTCCGATTTGATAATGCCGGCCGCTTATCTTCAATTGCATCCTTCAGTTTTTCGAGTTCCTCAACACACACATTTGAATTTATCGTTTGGTTCTGCGGCATGAGTTCAAAATACAAAATTCCTTTGTGATCCCCCCACCAGACTGACAGCATAATCTTTTTTTGGTGAATCTCTGCTTTTCATACTGTTTGGGCTAGTTGATCTTGCTTCACCCATGATCTCTTGCGAGTAACATTGTTATAAACTATCCACTTTTCGTCGCCAGTAACTAGGTTCTTCAGAAATGGATCATTCTCATTCTCATTGCGTTTCAGTAGCGGCGAANCACAGATGCTAATCCGTTGCGTCAAATGAATTTCCTTGAACTGGTGAGGGATCCATAAATCAAGTTTCTTGACATAACCAAGGGTTTTTCATTTTTTTTCAATGCATGTATGCGACACATTGAGCTTCTCTGCAATATCTCGTGTTGTGTTGTGACAATTTGAATCGATAATGACCTTGATATGGGTTTCATCCACTTCGACTGGGCGGCCAGATCGTTGTAAATTTTTCAGTGAAAAATCACCGGAACGAAATCTTTCAAACCAATTTCGACACTGCCTTTCTTTTAAGGCTTCATCTCCAAATCTTGCCTTTTCGGAAGTAATACAATAAAATGTTTCGGAAGTGCACTTCCTGTTCTTTCATTTTTAAATTGGGATAAAAACAAAACTAAAGAACTAAACAAAAAAATTTTTTACTAATTAACCTAGAAGCCCATACAGTAAGAAAAAAATATAGGTTAGATGCTCTGGCCACGTTAACAAAACAAAAGAAAGTATAGAGTGAATCCGTCAACAAAAACGATAATGACTTAGTTGCCAACCCAATACTTATGCAGGAGCAATAGTCAGCAAACCAGATCTCCAATCTTCAGATCTGTGGGACACGTTATCGCTCTGTGCGTCATCGTATGCCTGCGTGTCTGCTCGCCAGGATTGGGAGGTGCGGCCGTACAACTCTGTGTGCAGCTACCGTACAAACAGTGACCAATCATCAACCTCTGTTTAACCTAATCCCCCAACCTGATCATGAGTAGCTCCATGCGTGTACACTTTATCCGCAATACCCGTACTGAATAAACGTGCTCCGTGCTACACGTCTGTTTCCTTGATAGCTGGGCTATAGCTTAGCTGGTTCTGGGAGTCTAGCTAGATGTTGGAGAATCTGCCATAGAGATTTCTGAGTAGCAATCCGCTACAGATCACATTCTTTCATCTATTTAAAGTGAAGATTGCAGCAACAACTCAGTGCTTAAAGTGTAGTTATCTGCTCGTGAAATACGCACAATTATAGCAAATAAATAGTACCATTTTCGCCATAATTCACATTTGATACTCACCGGTTGCGAAAACTGAGCGATTCGTTCTAGAGCCGCGGCGGTTTGTGGTTTGATGTTGGGATTCAGGCGGTAATAATCCACTTCACAAACTCGAACCTGCTCTGGTCCAAGGTTCTCAACGACGGCTCTGTAGTTCGAGCAGGTACCACAGAATATCTAAAAGCAAAAGATCAATAAAAATAAATAAATAAATAAATAAATATATATATATATATGTATATATGTGTGTGCGTGAATGTAGCCGATGGGGCAATTGGGATTGACCTCTGGAGGATTAGGATAGGTCCAAAGCAGCGTTGATTGCGCATTTGCGAGACAAAGAGGTGATAACGTCAATTTCCCCAAACGAACCAACTTCTCTAAGCCCATCAAGAAAATTATCCACAACAAGTGACTTGGACAAATCTAAGGTGACCGGAGGGCTCACTCATTTAGTTGACCAGAGTTGATCCCATGACTTCTGACTTGACGTGAACACGCATGTTGAACACGGCGATAATAGCGCACTTTATTGGTCAAGGTGTTTTAGTATTACATGCATAAAGATTGTCTGGGAGACAACGTCTGAAAAGAGCTCTCAATCGAGGAGACGACAAAAGTTCGAGCAAATTCTCCTAGTGAATAATCACAAACACTTTCTGACTTCAAGGGAACGAAAATGGACTCCCGAAAATGACATTTGTCAATTTTCACAAAATCGTGACATGTGAAATCAACTCATTTAAGATAAATAAAAAATCGATACTAAGGCTACACACTGCCATAAACAAGCAGGCTGCTAATGTAAACAAAATGCGCGAAAACTACCTTCAGTTTATCTGTATGGCTATCTTTTATACCTTGAAAGCGGTAACCTATTACCCACAAATATGAAAATTGAATTAAGGTGAAGATAAGCACTAAACGGAACGGTGGGCGCTAGGCCCTCACAAGTGTTAGCAGTAGAATAAATACAAATGTTTTCTTTAACTTGATGAACACTGGCAAATACACTAGAGATATTAAAAAATGATGGCAGGTAAAACCAATCAAGAAGTGAGAAAGTGGCGAAATTTGGACTTCACAATTAAAGCCAAAAAAGTTTAAAGTGCAATTTCTATGATTATATCAGGTGCGTATCCACTACTTCAAAAAAAACTATTTGCTTTAAAGCTGAGTTTTGGATATTTTGTGATGAAAATACTATGATATTAGTAAAATGGGGAACATTGACGAGGAGAAATGCAATTAATATGCCTTCTTTTGCAGGTATTACATTTAATAATAAGTTATTTTAATTTGTAGTCAAAAATTCAAATCAATCAAACTGGCTTACTTTCCCGCAAGCTCTGCAATGATGTTTCCGTCGAATATGAGTGAAACGTCGAAAGCATAGAGCACACATGGTCGCTTGCTCATCTTTCACCCACTCTGCCGCCCTGGACATCTGCGCATTCTAAGGTCAAAAAAAATAATTAGATTTATAAAGGCAGGTCTCATAGCGCATTTCCAACTCCCCCCTCACCACCCACCCACACCCCACCTCCACCTCGCTCATTACAAATAGACCAAATCTGTCTAAATCCTTAATTCAAATACTTTTCAACAACACGCACCACATTTCGTATCTACTCGGACGAGAAATTAGTACAAGTTATTACATCTTCTAATCAATTATTGTTTTATTATGTTCGGACTTCAAACTCCAGTCTAATCTAATCTAGTAAGGTTGCCGGGTGGAAACAGGATCACTCCAAGTAATCGTAGTTGACTTACTTGCAAATATTAACACTCTTCTCTAAACTGGCTGAACACAGCGACATAGAAACAACAAAGATAGTAGTACATCAATAGAAACAGAATAGAACCCTTCATTTACCGAAACCATGAATTGTCATTCAAGCAAAGGAGTATGTGCAACTGTAAATTGTTTTGGACTTGGAAAGATAATGAATGGTCCCACCATATACTGTCATATGAAATCTCTGAAGCAGTCACGGATATCTGCAAATGTGGACCTGGTACAATATTTTTGAAACAAAGTTCAATCGCAAATCAAATATGCAATAGACAAAACGAGATATTTTTTGAGACGTAAGTTCAATTGGCAAGTGAAAAAACTGCATTAATCTCAAATCTGATTGGGAAAGTGTTTTCAGCACTTATTCTGGATAAATGGAATATAACATAAAGTAAATCTTTGAGGAGAAAATCGAATTCTGTCAGTCCACTTGGCTACTGTGATTGGCTGTTCCGTTCATAAGGTGTGCGTGGGTGGGTAGCGAATTCTTTATTTCTCACTTCAAAGATGGAACATTTTATTAATAGAAAAGAGGTGCGCGATAGACTTACCTCCACGTGGTGCACTCTAGGCAACCTATAATCATACAGCAAAAAAGTCTATCAACCGGCAGTCGACTTCTGGCTTCAAATTACCATCACCCCACTATATGTCATATTCGACTACTCACAGTACTCATCTCACCTTTTTACACCTTTTTTTCAGTCTCTTTAACATTTTTGAAACACTCTTCTCTTCCCCCCTCTCGACTTTTCACTTTGATGTTCCTTCCCCTCTGTGAAGCCTGAAGTCAACTAAAGGGCTAATGATAACTATCAAAACGCCCGCCATTTGATATAAATAAATAATAATAGAAATTTCTTTTTTAATCGCATAGCCTAACCGGTAGGATTCCATAATGGAAAAAAATTATGGCAACCTTCATTATCACCCTTGCCG